GGGTGGCCAAGGTCGCGCCGGGGACCAGGGCATCATTCCCGGGAGCAGCCTGCGAGCCTTCGCCCGGCCCTGAGCTCAGCCTTGTACTGAGCACCCCCCCTACACCTCCCCGGGGCTGGTCCCCACTCCGTCACCCCACCGTGGGGCCACCCTGGCTCTATCCCCACTCTGCGCCTCAGTTTCCCGCGGTGGCATGCTGGCGTGAGGTGCTGGTGGGGCCGGGGGCTGCCAGGTTGGCCTCTGATGCTTCAGGGTGTCAGCCCGCTTTCTGGGGCCCGTGAGCCGCCTTCCCTCATGCATGGTCCCTGTGTGCCAGCTCGGAGGGGGACGAGGCTTTTTGGGGTGACACGGCAGGGCTCAGCCTGCTCCGCAGTCCAGGGCAGCCCCGTGGGCTCCGGGTCTCCGGCTGTGTCACTCCATCACCCTCCAGCCCCACAGAGGAGCTGGGGTTGCTTCTACGAGGGGGAAGGATTTGTGGGGATGGGGTTGTCCCTGCAGCAGGGTGGCCCCCGGGACTCGTGATGACAGTGCTTGCTGCTGGCGGAGAAAGGCCCTGGCAGGGCTGGGGGTGGGGGGTCCTCCAGCCCCCCCGTTTCCCTATATGTAGCATATGGATACGGTCCTGCTGCCGGGGCTGGGGCGAGCGGGTCCCCAAGGGCAGTCAGCACCCCAGGGGACAGTCCCAGCGGCACAGTGTGCCACGTCCCCCAGCCCTGGGCACAAACCCACCCTTGCTTCCCTCAGGGCTGGATGAGGCCCCGCTGAAGGCCCCCAGCCCCGGTGTGAGGAGGATGAGGATGGTGCGAGCCATGGCCCAGCCTGGGGGACCGCGGGAAACTCAGCCTTCCCAGCAGCCGGCAGCAGGGACCTCCACGGCCGAGCTCTCCTCGGGGCAAATAACCCCCGTCAAAACAGGCAGGACAGGGTGGTTTGAACCTGCCGCTTTCTGCAAGCTCAGGGACAGCTGCCCTGTGCTTTGGGGATGATTTTCAGGGAAAATGGAGCAGAGCATCACAAATTGGTAAAAGCATCCACGCTTTGGGATAAAGCACAAGCCGCTTCCTAGGAGTGGGAGCGAGCAGAAGTGGGACCCAGCCCATCACCCTTGCTGTCTCCAGCACAGCTCCCAGTCGGGAACCCAGTGCCAGGGGATGTTTGGGCTCCTCAGACTCAGCTCCTGCATCCTCGTGTGGGGTTTATCACCTCGTGGCCCCCCTGCACGCATGGCCCTGCCCTGGAGCCCCTCTGGCCTCACCACGTGTGCCAGCAGCTTGTGGGCTCACCCTGTCAGCTGGCTCGGAAATTAGCCTCCATCAAGTTAATTGCCAAACTGCTCAAAGCCTGAAATTAAACATTAAAGCTGTCGCTCGCAGGCACAGAGAAATCCCCCCCCCTCCCTCTACTTCACCCCATGAAAAGGCAATTCTGGCTGTCCAAGCGAAGGGAAGATGGATTCCTCGGCTTGGGGCAGCACTGGGATGGAGCAGCCGGTGACAGTCCCCGCGGGTGCTATGGGACAAGTCCCCAGCACGGGCAGGGACTGCGCCGCTGCCGGGGCTGGGCAAACCCCGAGCTGTAGACAGCCCCTTTGCCAGAGGTTTCCTTGCTCTGGTACCGAAAGGGCTAAAAGCGCCTGCGAGAACCTTTCTGGCATAAACTTTGTTCAAATCCTGGCTCTCCGTGGCTCTGCAGGGTGGGAACCCCCACGGGGGACCCTAGGGTCTCACAGAGCCCAGACCCCCGCTGGGGATGTCGCCCACCCCTGGGGGATGCTCCTGCTCCCCGAGGAGAAACATAACCCTTTTCCATGGTCTCCTGCTTGGAAAAATACCGCCTGAAGGAATAATGGGGTCTGCCAGGGGGGTCTCCAGGATCTGAGCAGCTTCTCCTTGGCCTCGCAGTGACGAGCTGTCCCGGAGGGGAAATGCATCCTGAATGGGGCTGAGGCCCCCTGCTCGGGAATATGCAGCCTCGGCGCCGTGGGGGCAGCACCAGGGCAGCGGCCGGCGTGCGACGGCATGGTGGCAACGTTCAAGATCGCCGTGCTGGGAGCCCAGGGCGTGGGCAAGAGCGCCATAGTCCGGCAGTTCCTCTACAACGAGTTCAGCGAGGTCTGCGTGCCCACCACGGCCCGTCGCGTCTCCCTGCCCGCCGTCGTCATGAACGGCCACGTCCACGACCTGCAGATCATGGACTTTCCCCCCATCACCGCCTTCCCCGTCAACACCCTGCAGGTAGGGGCGCACCCGGTTGGGGGCGACGGGAGTCCCACGTTGGGGGGTCTCTGGTGACGGCGGTGGAGTTTCGCTATATGACCCTGTGGGGTCCCGGTTCCTCCTTTTCGCAGGATGCTGCTCCTTCCACGTCAGGGTTTGCTTGCTAAAAGCCGGTGTGAGGGATCGCATCCTCATGGTACCGGCTGAGCAGGTCCAGGATGAAGTATCTTTTAAAGCTTTTTCACCTAAAATGATGGCGAATGTGGGGGACACAGTGTCCCACTCCAAGGACCGCGGCTCCGCTGATGCCCACAGCCCTACTGGATCTCCCTCTCCAGTTGGGAGGTGGATGCCGGTGCGCTGGGATCCAGTCCCATCACTGTCAGAGCCGGGGCCAGCAAAGGGCTGGGGGAGCATAGCCAAAGCATTCGGGTGAAAACCAGGGGTTCCTGGAGAGCCAGACCCCATCACACCCTCTGCCCGAGCCAGGTGGAGTGGGGCTGCTCGTCCCCTCCCGGGGTGGCTGTGCCCCCCGCAGCGTTGCCCGGAGCGCTGAACCTACGGAGCAGCATGCTCAGGTTCTTCTAAAACAGCCCCAAAAGGCAGCGTGGGGTTGGAAAATCTCACCATCCACTTGAGGGGGAGGCGGCTTAATGGGGAAAAAGGGGATTTTACATTTGTGCCACGGCTCCATCCCAGGGGCACAAGTTGTACCACCGCTGCGGGGAAAGGAGCTGGAGTTGCCCGGTCATGGCCACAGCCACGCCGGAGGGCAATGCCACCGGCTGCAGCACCTCCCCAGGGCTGGGATCTTTTATATTTTTAATCAATATAATTATATTGCTCCCCTGCCCGAGAGGGATGGGGTTCTAGGGGCCTTGTAGTGCTCCAAGCGTCCCCTGTGCCATTGGGCAGGAGGCGAAGTGAGCGCTCCGGGGGCACGGAGGAGGTTTAAAAATTAATCAGCGTGTGCGGAGAAGGAAAGGTCAGTGCGAGAGGCAGCCCGAAATAGCAAAGGGTAATTTATTGACACGGCAGCCGACGCTAACCTACTCGATTAACTCCCTGCCTCGCCGCGCTCGAGAGGAGGCGACCGCTGGGAACAGACGGAGGTTTCCAGGGAAGAGAGGATGGTCAGAGGGATGGCTCCGAGGGGGAAGGAGAGGACCGCGGTGGGGGGATATGGCTCTGCCTGCTGGGAAGCAACGCTGGGCTCCGCTCCGTGCCCGGGAGCAGCACCCCTGCGGTGAAGTCCTGGGAGAGCAGCAGGGGCCGGTGGCTCCCTGATGTCCCGCTCCTCCACGGGGCCGGGTGGGATGTGCAGCGTGATGCTCCTCCAGCCCCGAGCATCCCGGGAAACCTGCACCGCACAGGGAAAACCATTTCGACACCACAGCGCCAGAGCAAGCCGCACCCCAGCGTGGGGAAATAGCTGCAATTTATGAATCTCCCCGGTGTGTCGGGACTCAGAGTAACCTGCGACACCGCCGCTTCATCCACCTGCAGAGCTCTGATTCTGAGGAGCAACACATCTTCTCCTCCCCTCCGTGGACCGGAGAGGGGCTGTGTCATGCCACTTGCTCCCAGCTCCTTCCCATGCTGCGGTCTGCGATGGAGACCAACCCGCACCCCAAAACTTTCCTTTTCCCAGTTTCCTTCGGTCCTGCGTCTTCTCCTTTTGCCTCGTTCCAATGATAAACTCAGAAAGGGATGATTCATGGTACTGGAGACGTTTTCCTGGGGAGAAGTGATGCTTTTCCTCCTCGGAGCATCTTCCTCCCCTCCAGTGGCGCTCAGGAGGGTTTGCGGTGCTGCCTGCACGGGCTGCCGCTCCCCGGTGTCACTGCAGCCTGGGTACCACTGCCGGGCACGGACAGTGCCTGGAAGCGGGGCAGATTTTCGCTCCTATAGCATGGAAAAAAAAATAATGCTGTTATTCCTGGAAACCCAAAGCTTTCCTAACAACACGTGTTTCTTACAGCTCCAAATTTTGGCTGTGGAGAAGCCACCCCTGATGGCCTCTGCCCCAACTCCCAATCTCACAGACCCCCCTCCCCAGCAGCCGCCTCTCCTCTCCTGTCCCCACATCCCCTCCAGAGAGCCCTGCCGTCCCCTTCCCCCTCTGGCCCATGGAGCTGCTGGTCCATTGTCCCCATCCCCATGGAGCTGCTGATCCATCACCTCCATCCCCATGGAGCCAGGGCTGGACTGAGTCCGGTTCAACCCTCAGCATCCTCCTCACCCACCCTGCCGAATACCAGGGTGCGTCACTAATTAACACACCTAATTAGCAGCTCTGGGGTGGTGAAGCTTTTACATCCAGGGCAGGGGGTTGCATCCAGCCCCGCTCCCAGCTCTTCTCCGGGCTGCTGTGCATCAGGCAGGATGTAATCTTCGCTCAAGAGAGGAATTGGGGCTGACAAATCCCATTATCTTTCTTCTGGATTAACGAGGGGGATAAGGGATCTCAGGAGATGGGGGGGGGAATGGCCGAAGGGCCATGGCAGGGCAGACGCAGCCGTCTCAGGGATGTGTCGGGGCAGAGCAGAGGTGAGCTGGGTGGCGTAGCTGCCTCCGTGGCGTGCCCGGCCCCGAAGCAGTGCGGGGCATCCCCCGGGCACAGCGATGGGGCTGAGCCAGGATTGATCCCTCTCTGCACCTTGCAGGAGTGGGCGGACGTGTGTTGCAGGGGGCTCCGGAGCGTCCATGCCTACATCCTGGTCTATGACATCTGTTGCTTTGACAGCTTCGAGTACATCAAAACCATCCGCCAGCAGATCCTGGAAACGAGGTAGGGACCGCTTTGCCGGCGGGTGCATCCTGTGGGGCTCCCAGTGGGGTGGTACGGCTCACCCCAGTGCTCTCCTGCTCTTGGCATCAGAGATGAGATACTAGGGGCTGGGGTGAAGCCCCTTTGCAGGGCTGGGAGCCCAAAAGCAAAATCAAAACTGGACCCGAGGGCAGGAGAAGGAGAAGGACCCGAGGGCAGGAGAAGGAGAAGGACCCCGGGCAGGTATCTGCTGTGGGTGAGGGCAGCCATCCCTGGGAAAGCAACTGGGGCTGGCGCAGTGGGTGGCCATGAAGAGGGGACAGGCCAAGAGGAGACACATCCTTTTTGGGAAGCCAAAGCCAAGAGCTGGTTTGGGATGTGTTGGGGTCCACAGGCAGGTCCGTCATCGCGCTCTGTCCTGTCCCCTTCTGTCCTCCCTCACTGCCCGTCTTCCCCAGGGTCATCGGCACTTCGGAGACGCCCATCATCATCGTGGGCAACAAGCGGGACCTGCAGCGGGGCCGGGTGATCCCACGCTGGAACGTCTCCAACCTGGTGAAGAAGACGTGGAAGTGCGGCTACATCGAGTGCTCGGCCAAATACAACTGGCACATCCTGCTGCTCTTCAGTGAGCTCCTGAAGAGCGTGGGCTGTGCCCGCTGCAAGCACGTCCACACCACCATCCGCTTCCAGGGTGCCCTGCGCAGGAACCGATGCACCATCATGTGAGCCCTCCCTGCCCCGACGGACTCCCCCCTCCTCCCCGGCCGTGTCCCCGTGGCTGCCTGTCCTCGGGGACCGTGGCTCCCCGGTGAGCGCCGGCGTCGCTGCTCTCCGTGGGGGTGATGCTGTGGTAGGAGCTGTGCCGGAGGCACCTCGGGGTTTGCTGCCCCACCAGTGCTGACACCCTGCGGTGACATTTGGGGACGCTGCACCTTGGGCGGTGCTGGGCAGGGTGATGCGGTGGCCATTGGTGGGTCAGAGGGGGTTCATGGCCGGGCTGCCGGGAGGTAACGAGGGCTGAGGGAGGACCTCAGCTAAATCCCCGAGCCCTCCCTGAGCCTCCTGCGCTCGGGGCCAAAGCTGTCCCGGGGAATTGTGTCTCCGCCGTGCATGAGATGCTGAGAGGCACCGGAGGGGTGGAGGAGCCACCTCAGACGGTGCCCAGAGGTTGGCTGCCACGTTCATCCTTGCCGGCTCCTGCCCCCACAACGCAGGGGCAACGCGTGCTGCTGCCTGCCCTCACCTGCCCCCCCCGCCCAGAAGAAAATTTCCCAGTGTCCTGATGGAGGTGGCTCCATCCCTGGGGCACGGCGGAGCTGGGAGTCCCATTTTCCTTCTGGCGGAGCTGGGGTTTCTCCCCTTGGAGGGCAGAGCCGTCTCCGTCAGGAGGCCATGTTACACGGGCTCTCTTTTGGCTCGGTTGGGTCAGATTTCCAGGCCAGAATTTCTGGATGAAAGCAAGAAAGGTGGGGAGGAAAAAAAAAAAAAAAAATCGAGCCCTCATCCTGCCCCTTACATCGCCCCAGGGTGCCGGGTGCTGCTTCCCCAGGGCTTCGAGTCCCCCTTCTGCTCTGGTTCAGCCAAGGAAGGCTTCTCCTCCCCCACCAGCCTGTCGAACACCAAATAATCTGGAAAAGCTCCTTGCCGGGCAGGTCACCCCTCCGCTACCTCGCGTCCTGGGCTCAGCGGGCGACTGGCTTTGCACAGCTCCGACCCGAACCCCCGGTGTCCCCCCGGGCAGGTCCCCCCTTGTGCCACCAGCGGTGCCGTGAGGCGGGTCCGACCCACACTGGGCTTTCCCAGGCGATGCTCGCCTCCATCCAGAGACAGCGCCGGTGCGAAGGCAAACTCTGAAGCAATAGGGAGCTGGCGTGACATTTCCAGTTGCATTCCTTGTTTGTTTTTTTTTCCTCTCTGCACATCCCTAATAGGAAATCCCCCCATCTATTTTTTTTTTAATTATTCTTTTTTGATTTTTTGGCTTGTTTTTACACCAGACTTGCAGCTCACCTGTGTCGCGTCCTGTAGAGCGTGTGGCAAAGCGCAACAAATGGGGTCAGGGTGATGTGCCGGCGATGGGTGAGCGAGAGACAAGGGGGTGGGTCTCGTTGTTCCTCCTTCTTGGCTGCTCCCTGTGAGACACGGGGAAACTCCATCCTCGTCCGCCCTCGCCCCCCGAGGTGGGATCTGAGGCCAGTCCATCCTCTGGCAAAACCATCGCTGTGATTTCTGGTGTAACAAGGGGATGCAGGGATTCAGAGCAGCTCTGGGCGGTAAAGCCAAAGGATGCCAGCCCCATCTCTCCCCCCGCCCTTGGCCAGGTTTCCGTCTGACAGAAGCACCGCTGCGCTCTCGGTAACACTTTCTATTAAAAATAGATCCAGCTGAGCTCCGGCACGGAGCATTTCACCGCCCCATCCCCACCGCCGCCGTCATGCACTGCCCTGCAGCCAAATGCCGCGGGGTTCGGGGGGACACCCCGCTCCCCCCGTCCCACCCTCCGCAGCCGCTTTGGCAACCAAATCCTATTTCCCTCGCTTCCCCCTCCAAAAAAAAAAAAAAAAGGGGAAAAAAAAAAAGAGAAAAGGCACCAAGGGGACAGGGGTCTGTCTCAGGTGGCTGCGAGAGCACCGGCCGGGGAAGGGCAGTGGCACTCAACACCATCCCCTGCCTTCACGGCAAACAGCCCGGGCTTCGCCGCCGGCCCCGCCGACCTCATCTCGTCAGGATTTATTAACACGTATAAGTCCACGTTATTGGTCTCTGGCTAGCTTTATCCCTCCAAATTGTTTGAGAAGGAAACTCCTTGGTAAATGCTAATAATAAAGCATTTCTAAAGTGCTCCGACGTATACATATCAACGACGAAGCCAATACATTTTTTGTTATAACCCTGTAGCCTGCAGTTTATAGCACAATTAGTTACAGGTTTTTATAGCATGCCGTTAGTATTTTGAAAAAAAAAAAAAAAAAGAAAAGGTTATAAATATAATTGTTATATTCTATTGTACTTTATAGACAGAGAAAGTTATATTAGTAATAATAACTCTCACTGCTTCGACAGCATTTCCCAGCTCCCGAGAAAACGAGGGCTACAAAGAGCTGCTTTCCCAAGAGCCCGGGAGGGAGTGGGTTGTGGGTGGTGGTACCGGCCGGGTGCAGGCGGGGAAACTGAGGCAGGAGGTCCGGCGCGTGGCCCAGGCTGGTGGGATCCGAGCAGCCAGGAACCAGCCGACCCGTGCCTCGTCCCTACCCGCACCCTTCGTACGAAGTGTTACCGCTCGCCCGACGCCACCTTGGGTCCTGCTAAAAGCAACAGGAGCTGCTGAGCCTGGGAGAGGCTGAGGATGTCCCCCACCGCTGTCCCCAGGGCAGTGCCGGGTTTCTGCCCCCGCGTGTGATGCCTGGGTTTGGTCCACCTCCCTGCCAGGAGGTGATGCCTGGGTTTGGTCCAGCCCTGGCGAGGATGCTTCCCTCTCCTCTTCCTCCTCCTCCTGCCCCGGTGAGCGTCCCAGTTGCCTGGACTTGGCTTTCCTTTCCCCGCTGGACTTCTTGTTGGAGATTCCCGAGGTGTCTACACCGCCTGTAACGCCCCGCACCCCTTCTTTGAAACCGAATTAAAAATCAGGTCTGTCCCGCCTTGTTCTGTACCCGCCTTGCTGCTCTTTGCCCGCGGTGCCGGGTTGCTCGCCGCCCCGCTGCCACTCTCGCAGCCCTTCTGTGGGAGGCAATGGGTCGGGGTGGGGGGGAGGAGTATTTGTTTCTCCCCTGCAAAAGGAGCATTTTTCTAAGCAGGTTTTGCATCCACAGGGCGCCGGCGCTCGCCCTTGCTCTTTCTTTGCAGGAGTGTGGGGCCAGTTTCATCCTCTCTTGGATGATGGGGCTGTTCTGGCCCCCGCGGGGCCCTTGGAGAGATGTTTGCTGCGCACACAGGCCACCAATTCCCTTCCCCAGCTGTGACCCCCCCCACCCCATCGGGATTATCCTCTCCTCCTCCCCACCCACATAGAAACGATGCCGAAACAGAAGAGCTTTGGTACATCTCTATTGCACAAACAACATTGCCGGGTCCGTGGCTGCAGGCTCGGGAGGGCAGCAGTGACTTCGACAAGCCTCGGTGACAGTGGTCGTCCTGACCATCACCACTGAGGCGACCACCAACCCCCCCCGGGTCTCCCACCTTCTCCCATAAGGAAACCTGTGGAGCTCAGCAAGGGTCACCTCCTGTGATCTCCTCCCCCTGACCCGAGTAACTCAAACGCTCGTTAAGGTGAGCTCGTGATGCTGTAAGACACGAGGATCGTTAGTCCCATCGTACAGGTGGGGAAGACTGAGGTACCAGAAGGTCTGCACGCTTGGATGCCACGTGTAGGATGTCCCCACTTTAGGGGGACACTGTAGGGGCCGGCTACACCCTTCTTCCCTGCGGAAGGAGCCCCATTCTCGCGATTTGGGGCTGGATTTTTCCACTCAAAGCAGTATGAGAACACCTGTGTAGGAGAAGAATTACCAGTCCAAAACAAACCCCGCTGGGAAGGAGGGGGTGCAGCTCGGATGAGCAAGGAGGGTCCCCCACAGCCACCTGGGAGCAAATTCAGGATGCTGCCCGCGGGCACCGCTGGCTTCAGCATCACTCCCACCTTCGGATGAGGGACGGGTCCGTCCCCTCGAAAACCCGGTCGGGGATCAGACCCACGCCTCCTCGTCATCCTCGGTCAGCCAGGCGCCGCTGTCGGCCGGCGAGGGCTTGGCCCCGGGCTGCGTGCCACCGGGCTGGGGGTGCCGGGGGG